CACAAAGATCTTGTAGACTAGGACCACCCCCAGCATCCCCAGGGGCCATTCCTGGACTGGCCTGAGTTGGCCCCAGGGAAATGTCCTGAAGGAACAGAGATAGGTGCAGATTCCAAAGCCCCTCCCCAGAGATTCTGATTCAGAGGAATTCTGCATTTTTAAAAATTATTTATTTATGCACACAAGAACTGTAGCTATAGGCCAGAGGATTCACCAGAGTCAGACTGGAGAGCAGAACAGGCGGACTGACAGAAACACACTGCTGAGGAGACCAGAAGCAGAATAGGAGAGGTCTGCTGTGCCAAGTGGGTTCACCCCCTGTCTGGGATGGAACTTGTGCTGCAGTGGCTGCAATAGCTTCATAGTGCAGTGACATCATGGAGGCCTGAATTCAGCATTTTAATGAGCTTTTCAGGCTGTTTCAGTAGGAAAGCCAATCTAGAAGCAGCTAGAACTCTGAGACACCACTGGCACACACTCCTTGACCTAGACCCTGAACGAGCTGAGTGAGGAGTCACTCATGTGCAAAGTTTAAGCAGGTCCCCATTCCCAAGTTCATGCAAGTACAGCGTCTAGATGGCCTTTGAGAAAGGGCATCCTTAAAAGCCATGCCCTCGTCGCCTCCTTGTACTCTAGAGCTGGCCTTGACTGCCCCAGCAGAGCAGTCCGGATGCAGGGAGTACCCCCATTTCTGCCCACAGTAAGCCCAGCCCCCAGGAAAATCTGGCCTAGGCCTGCGGCAGGCAGTGCTCCCAGCCCTGGCCACAGGCAGGCCCAGGTGAGCTGAGGACAGGCCTTGGAATTCCAGGCCAACCACTGGAGCCCTATTAATGCTCTGTTTTCCCTTAAATGGGGAAGAGGCAGACTAATTCCAACCTCACACCCCACAAGGTCTGACCACCTCAGGGTAACAGGATCCTTTGAAGAGCCTGAGGCTTGGAACTCAGGTGAGCAAGATGTTCTCAGTTCTCCAGACCCAGAACTCTAGCTGTGGGTTGGTGTCAGGCCTACAGGCTCTGGGGTGTCGGTCTCCAGGCTACTCTCACATGAGGACTGGAGTGAGCCCATCCTGCAGGCTGCTCTTCACCCATGCCCCTCCTCAGAGGACACAGAGGTCATCCCCTGACCTCTCCATCTCTCATGGACTGGCTATGATTGTGGTCAAACTTATTGGGAAGCACACCTCATACAGGCAAGCTCAAGAAAAGGGAGGCGATCTGAGAAACGTCTCACTGGGTCATCTTGTTGTCTTGGGAATGTCCATCATGGCTTTACTCTCACATTCCACACCACCCCCAAAGCACTGCACATTTCAAGTGCAACCACACAGCCCTAGAACATAGGTGTGTTGTAGTCCCAGACCCCGTCAGGGTCTGTGTGGTTATGCTTTACGGCATTCACATCACAAGACATCATCTAATGATGCATTTCTCAAAATTATCTCCATTGTGATGTGGTACATGACTGTTGTGGTGAGCATGAACCATCATTAAGAAAGCTGTAACTGGGCCCTCCCTGCTGGCGCAGTGGGTTAAAGCACAACACTAAGAAGCTAAAGTCACTTCAGCAAGAGTTCGATCCCCACCTGCCCCGGAGGTGACCCACATGGCGTGGCAGACCTCTCCTGACCCGCCCGCTGCTCCCCTCGGCAGTGTACTTCGTCGATCTGCCTGTTCTGCTCCCCACTCTGTCTCTGATGAATCCTCTCGCTACCCCTGCACCTCTGGCCTTTACCCCAGTTCTGTATGCATTAATAAATACTAAAAAAAAAAAATATAGAAACCCATAACCACTATCATTTGATATAAAAATTATGTGTGATGGGCCCTCCCTGGTGGTGCAATGGTTTAGAACTCAGCACTGCAAGCTAGCCACAGCCGCTTCAGTGGAGTTTGATCCCCGGCCCCAGAGGTGACCCACATGGCGTGGCAGACCTCTCCTTACCCGCCCACTGCTCCCCTCAGCAGTGTACTTTGTCCATCTGCCTGTTCTGCTCCCCACTCTGTCTCTGGTGAATCCTCTCACTACCCCTGCACTTCTGGCCTGTACTCCAGTTGTGTATGCACAAATAAATAAACCTTAAAAAAAAATGTGTGATTTCTAGACATACCACATAGACTCATGCGCAACCAGCACTCACAGACCCCATGGAATGGAATGCGCCTGCAAGAAGGCTAATGGCAAGGCCATGGGGGATGCCTTGTATACAACAGATCCCACCTGACAACATTTCCTTAGACTTCTCCATTCAAAGTGCTTTTGTATAAGTGCTCGAGAACCCCCAGGATTGCCCAGACAGAGGGCGGTATGATTCTCTTCCTGAAAAGGTGGGAAGCAAAGGAGCCCTGTCAAAGTCACAGATAGGGAAGGAAGATGCCAATCAGACTTCTCCTGCCTGTTCTCCTGCCACACACCAGGCACCTTCGCAACCCAGAGCAGCAAACCAGAAAGCATACTCGCACAGAAAGGAAAGGATGTTCATACAAGCACCACCGTTTTCAGCTTGCGCGTTCTGATTCACACTTAGCTTTGCAGAAGCTTCTACCCAAGCAATCCTATACACAGGCATCACCACAAACCAACCAAATCTGAGACAACAACAAAACCACCCAAGGGCTGGCATGGAAGACGGGGAGCCCCACATGCATCAGGCTGGCCACACGGGCACCAGGGATGGAGAGGTGCAGGCAGGAGGCCGGAGCATTTCAGGTAGCAAAGAATCGGGTTTGGAATATCTCTGACTTGCAGCAAATGGGGAGCCAC